GGCAAGTGCATTCTGCTTTCCCCCTCTTTTCATCCGACAGTATACATTTCGTATCTAGTTGGTTGAAAATTTGTTTAGTCATCTGAAGGACGCTCACATTGAAGTTATTGATGTCTTTTTAAGTGACATTTTCTTGAAATAGTTGTAGTGTTTCAAAAAACGTTATCCCGTTCCACACATTAGAATTGGAATACATAAAGTTGTTTCTTTTTAGTAATTGATAATAATTACACCTCCTTATTATTTTTGACTTTTATGCATTTCAACGATGGAGTATTAAGTTATAACATACTGTAGGAGTATTTAATAGGATTAGGCGTACTTTTCAAACACCAGAAATCAAATCATTCGTCAAAACAAATACAAGGAACTGAGGAGAAAACAAACCAACATCCACATAACCCACACCAACAGACTCGACAGAAAACAGCATACAACAATTTTCCATCTAAGCACAGAACACTGCAGTCTCAACTACCACATGAAAAACAAAGTATGTACAGTCCCTACGGTGTGCATGTCAGATGGGACCACATACCCAAAAGCACATTCTGTATTCCAATTCCAATTCCACTTGTCCAACAAAAATTCAAAATTTGATCCTTTTTCAGCTGCCCGGAGGTCTGCTTTATGGAGGAAGGTTCCTTGGCTATCTTATTTGATTTCCTTTTACTTGTGGTGTATAGTCACACCTGATATTCCGTTTCTTTGCTTTCTAATTCCGGTGTGGTGCTTGGGGTTTTTGGGTCTGGTCTGGTCCAGCTCTCTTAGTGCTGAAACTATAGTTTCCTTAAACTGTACCGAGGAGCCCCGACGGTCAGCAGACAGTCAGTAGTGAATCACTATTCTTGAGAACTACATGGAATAATTAAACAGATAGAGGGAGTGAGAAAGAGACAGACAGACAGACAGACAGACAGACAGACAGACAGACAGACAGACAGACAGACAGACAGACAGACAGACAGACAGACAGACAGACAGACAGACAGACAGACAGACAGACAGACAGACAGACAGACAGACAGACAGACAGACAGACAGACAGACAGACAGACAGACAGACAGACAGACAGACAGACAGACAGACAGACAGACAGACAGACAGACAGACAGACAGACAGACAGACAGACAGACAGACAGACAGACAGACAGACAGACAGACAGACAGACAGACAGACAGACAGACAGACAGACAGACAACAGACAGACAGACAGACAGACAGACAGACAGACAGACAGACAGACAGACAGACAGACAGACAGACAGACAGACAGACAGACAGACAGACAGACAGACAGACAGACAGACAGACAGACAGACAGACAGACAGGCAGAGATTATAGTATATATTACTTTTTTTTTAAATAATATTTTGAAAAGTATGGAGGTGGGAGATCATATAGTGGGTACGTGAAATAATTTATCATATACCTTTACAATACGTAATCAAGGTGCATGTTTCCACTTGTAATGTTATTTTAATCTTAGCATTTGCAAGTGAAAGTTAGAGAACCACAAAAGACAAAACGAAGGTTAAATGTTTTCTGAAACTATTATCCCAGGAAAGTGAAGCGACTAAAAAGGGAGGCATTCAAAAGGAGTGAAGAAATAAGATAAATGTCTGCGCAATCACTAATATCAACATTTATAAGACAGAGAAGAATGTGCTACATTTGACAATGAAACCTTAAGACGAATGTTGATGAGAGAGGCCAATGCTGCTGGACTGGATTCCATATATGATATTAAACGTGGTAAAATGGAATATAGATTGTGAGCCTTATGGGATTAATAATGGCACAACAGGAAATTAAATAAATTATATCATTTACAAAAACTCAGCTCTCTACAGATTTACTTTTGTTTTTCGTCTAAATGGGAAGTTTGAAATATATAGGATCCCTGGCAGACCTTTGAATATTGGTCCAAAGTCTTATTTATTTTGAGACCACTTCTGGCAAACCTTTGAATATTGGTCGGAAGTCTTATTTATTTGGAGACCACTGCTCAAGAACTATCCCTCCCCTGGCATGTTTAGGAATCCATTCTCCCCTCCTCCGAAGCATGTCGTAAAAGGCGATTCTTCTCATTTTTTTTTTTTTTTTTTTTTACTGTCTGTAAGCCCCAGCAGAAAGTCGTAGTTGTTCGTCCATTTGGAGTTTGGCTTTATGCCAAAGCTTGAGTTTTGCTTGTACATCTGTTTTACTTACTTATTTGTGTTCAGTTGGTTGTTCTTTGGCCTCTCGGTCAGATGCACAATGACTTAGAAGGAAGTCTACAGTTCTTCGACTCCTACGACATGCTTGTTTGGGAGTTAGAGGGTCTATTCTTGGTTTCCCTACAATGGAGCTCCAGAATCCACACGAATGGTAAAAGGCAATTAATATGGCCATTTCGTTCGAAAATATTTGCTTGCAAATGAATGGATATTTGAGTTAATTTTGCCTTTTCCTTTTCCTGCTTTATACAAGACTGTAGTAAAAAGCACTTTAATTTGTTATATCCCAATATGAACTCATTTATTCCTAATATTTGTTAGTTTTGTGTAAAAACTGATGCGAATGACAGGAGTTACGCCTGCTTTAGATTCTTTAAAATTAAATTTCATTTAGTGGCGTGTCTCTATCTAAAAGCTGAAAAGGGTTTGCGTCGTTACGTATGTACTTCTTAGGGCATAGAGAGTAAAAACTTTTCCTGAAACCTTTAAAAGTAATAGCAAAGGACTGTACAAAAAAAATATCTTGAAACCGTTTAAAAAAAATAGCGAAGGACCGTAAAACATATCTTGAAACCGGTAAAAATAATAGCAAAGGACAGTAAAAAAATGTCGTGAAACCTAAATGGGAGCTTTCCTTTCAAATTGGAGTGCTTGTGGTTAAGAGGTAAGAAACCAACAGCCTGCACACATATTAGTCAGATCTGTTAAACAGATGCACACGCAACACCGGAGTTCAGGAACAGGAATGCAATTCAGGAGTGGACGAACAACCAGAACTTTCCACTAGAGTTTACAGCCGGTGAACGCAAAGAAAAAGAAGACGCCCAGGTGAAGGATGGGCTTTTTTAAATGGACTTTTGTAATTTCCCCCTGTCTCTGGGTAGTAAGATCGGTGTGTATTGTTGCGCACTTGAAAAATCATATGGCAGTTGGAAATCGAAAAAGAGTAGCCTAGTGGCGCTGCCCGGACAAAATTTGGAGTTTATAAAGTATTTCAGGATTCTCGCCGGTACTACTGAGTTTGTGCACTGCGCTGAGATTATAAGGAATCAGGCGTGAGCCAGAAACATTACAGAGAACTTATGGGTCTAACCTTGTGCCATGATGTTGATCCGTCGTTAAAACTAAAACCCAACTGGTAAACTAAGTCCTGTTGGACAATGTACAGGAAGGAATTTAGAGAGTCTAAGAGTTATGGATATATTGAAGTACTGCTAATACTACGTTTGATACTACGGCAGGCTTCAGGCTTACCTAAACTCAGTATCCAGTAATGCCCCGCTGTGGTAGCTAAAGAATCCTCACAGCCAGGGCCCAAAGTAGCCTCATTAAGATGGCTGCCAAAGATTTATGTAGGAACAAACTGGCGGCGTTGGAATTACAGACCCCAGGTGGATTACTCATCTATCTTTTCTCGTACATAAAAAGTAGGCTTTTCACACACAGTCACACACACATACACACACACATATATACACACACACACACACAGACAGAGGGAGAAAGAGAGAAGACAAAGAGAGAGGGACTTATTTTTACGTGTAGTCGTTGGTCGAAATTCCAAAATCACTGCAGACGGGTTGCCCCATTGATACTCCGTTCCTGTGCGAATAGAAATGTCCTTCGCTTTTCATTCCCAGCTAAATCTTCAAGTCTGTACATCCCTATGCAAACAAGACTTACATACACACACATATATACATATATACATACACACATACATACATACATACATACATACATACATACATACATACATACATACATACATACATACATACATACATACATACATACATACATACATACATACATACATACATACATACATACATACATACATACATACATACATACATACATACATACATACATACATACCTACATACATACAGATACATACATACATACATACATACATACATACATACATACATACATACATACATACATACATACATACATACATACATACATACATACATACATACATACATACATACATACATACATACATACATACAATACATACATACATACAGACATACATACATACATACATAACATACATACATACATACATACATATACATACATACATACATACATACATACATACATACATACATACATACATACATACATACATACATACATACATACATACATACATACATACATACATCAACATACATAATACATACATACATACATACCTACCTACCTACCTACCTACCTACCTACCTACCTACCTACCTACCTACCTACCTACCTACCTACCTACCTACCTACCTACCTACCTACCTACCTACCTACATACATAAATACATCATACATACATACATACATACATACATACATACATACATACATACATACATACATACAATACATACAGTACATACATACATACATACATACATCCATACATACATACATACATACATACATACATACTACATACATACATACATACATACATACATACATACATACATACATACATACATACATACATACATACATACATACATACATACATACATACATACATACATACATACATACATACATACATACATACATACATACAATACCAACATGGGCGTCTTCGGGCCTATCAATTGATGCTCGTCCTACATTTAAATTATAGGCGATTTTGTCAGTATCATATTTCTGACTTTTGCTTCTTTTAACATTTCCTCGTAGTAGTTTTAGGTTGGATCGATTCATTAGACTAGGTTTTTATTTTAATAATTGTTGTACATTTATATATAATGTTGTTTCAATTTAAAAGAAATCCTTCTTTTGAATGGGTTCAAACACACAACCCATCGAGCCAGCCAGCTATAATTGCTTGTAACATACGGCTACCAAGTCGATACAACCTCATCATAAAGATGGCTGTCTCTGATTGATGTAGGCACAGAACACCGCTCGGAGTATTACGGGTAATAACCGCATTACTCCCAGATTGTTGCTCCTTTAAACACACAGACACACACACAGACACACACACACACACACACACACACCATACATTTCCCACACACTAACAGGCGCGCACACATAAAGATACGCAAAAACTTACATATGCACTCACCTAGACTCACACTTGACTCCACACTCACTAGCATTGTGATACCGTGGGGAAGTCATTAGGATCAGATTAGCGGTATGTAATACGATAAATCTTGCATATCTGTGACGAACTAGTGTGTGTGTATTTATATTATATATTTATATATATATATATAATATAGTATATATATATATATATATATATATATATGGTATATTGGCCGTTTGTGCCAGTACGGGCGATGGTGTTGGGAAAGGGGGGAAAGGGGGTCGGGTGGGGTTAGTCACTGAAAATTCTTTTAAAAACACTATCCATGTTATATATTTAGCAGCCCGGCTCGCTAGCGCAGTTGGTTAAAACCCTTTGCACGGCGACCTCATGACTAACTCCTTGTGGTATGCAGCAAAGTCACATTTCTCCTAGATTTGCAGTATCTATCACTGAATCAAGGCCGAAGTGTTTCGATATCCATAGTAATTAGCCAAATGGTTTTTAACTCATGATTTCTTGATACTGCATTTCTATATATACAGCACATTTAGCGTTGATTATAACAGCGTAATAAGCTTCGTGCCATTTAGTAAGCAATTGTCCCCTTGTTGATTCTGGGGTCCCGTTGGGCAGGGAAATACATCCACTGCCTTTTAGCAAACGTGTCGTAGTAGTCGTGGAGGTTAGGCTGCATTTGGGTCGCCACATTGATGCCCCGTCCTATGTCAGTGAATATCAAACAAAATGTACAACTTTGTCCCATTTGAAAAAATGGTGAACAAACAACACACACAAAAAGTTGTAAAAGCCAGAAATTTATTAAAACTTGAGGTGGTGCACTGAAGAGCGCAGATATTTCAGTCTAGCTGTAAACCATAGAATAGCGTGTTCATCTCCATTTAAGAGAGAACGCACTTAGATATTTAAAAAAAATGTCCAACGTCATTTGCTTATTACGCCAAAGCATGACTAGGGTTCTTTCTTTCTGCGACATGTTTAGTTTTTTGAGGTTTTGAACAACGGATCAACATCATGGCACACCTGTATAACCCATGAGTGCTCAGTTCTTCTTCTAACTTGTCTGATTTCGAAGAAGCTCAGCACAGTTCACAGGCTCTGTAGCACCGGCGAGGAACCTGAAATACTTTGGCTAGATTTTTAACTAACAATTCTGCCCGGGTAGCGCCATTAGGTTACTCTTTTCGATTCCAACTGCCAAGGGCTTTTTTTTCGCATGCGTATCAATGAACACGGGCGTCCGACTTCACTACCCAGAGACCGGGTCAATTACTTGAAGCCCAAATCCACGTGAAAAAATCCCGGCCCGGAACCTGTAGCGCTCAAGACGGACACCATGCCTTGAGACCACGCAGCCCCTACACCACAAGTTTAATTTGTAACCCTAGAGCTGTGTTTCTGGGTACGAGTACCAGTACCTCTTTAAGACTGTTTAAATTTACTGTAATAGAGACTTTGTGATAAGTACCGATACCTTTTATTAGACGATAATGAGTACGGGTACCATTTTTTCTTCCAAATTTATGTCATGCCTAACCATGTATCCTTAGTATATACAGACCAAACATAAAAGATATGATAACATACTATGTGCTGTTTGATACACATTGATAATAGCTGGGCACACTCTGAACATTGCGAATAAATGAAAACGTTAAAACACTTTTTTCGTGAATATGTTGTAAAATCATAGAATTTCGAAAACGTAAACTATTGACCATACGGGAGCCATCAATTTCAGAGCACCTAATGTTTAGAAACAATACTTATCAATGATCATTAAATTTGAATGTCTTTTAAGTTAAATTTCACGAGGAGCGGTGATATTTTATTTCAAGACGTTTTAAAGATGGAGGCTATTTGGGCAAAACTTCTTTGAAGTTGCCAGAAAAACACTAACGTAGAAATCAAAGCGCGAAAATGGATATGGAATCTGTGCATTAAAATAGTACCAGACTGCGAAATTCGCTTGACGCTTGGTAGAAAGGAAAGCCGCCATAATCATTGCAATTAACTCGGAAAATTTGAGCATAAAAGCGAGAGCCAAACTATAAATCAATGGGTGATTAGTCTGCTAACGGTTTATCTTGGCGGGAAACGATAACCTACTCTATACTTTGGCCTCTGTCGGGTTCAAAGTCAAACAATGAAATTTCCCTAGTAGGTAGAATAGAAAGACTATATATAACTACATGTCCAGTTGACTTTTTTGTTATTTTAACTTTCTATGAATTCAAGGTGATTCATCCCACAGTTCAAGGAAATAAATGTTAAAATTTTATTTATTTTTGATCAGAGGCTATGACTATGTTTATGGTATTTATTTGAGGCAATGTTTTCATAAATATCATTCACATTGTTATTAAAAACTGTTGTTAGTGGGCTCTTCTTTGTCTGAAAGTTCATGCTATGTGGTGTTGGTAGTCATGTTTATCCAAAACAACAGCCTTCTCTATGATTCGTAGAGAAGGCTGTATCCAAAACCTTCTGCCTGGTGTACTTTTAATAGGTTTTGACAAAGATGATCTTCTACGCCATTATGTCAAACTGTCCAGCACCTTCTCTCTCGGACTCGCTCGTCTTTTTTTTTTTCTTCCACTTTGTACCTAAGTGAAGTCTCTGCCTCTGCCAAATGTGACCTTTCCGCAGCATATAATATAGACTGCACAAGCAAGCAATTAGTGCTGTTTATGCGTCTTCTTCTGCATCTTCATCTTCATCATTATCATTGTCATCATCACAATCATCATCCTCTTCTTCTTCGCCATGGTCGCCCTCATCGATATCTTCTTCTTCTTCTTCTTCTTCTTCTTCTTCTTCTTCTTCTTCTTCTTCTTCTTCTTCTTCTTCTTCTTCTTCTTCTTCTTCTTCTTCTTCTTCATCTTCTTCTTCTTCTCCTCCTCCTTCTCCTTCTACTTCAGCATCATTAGCTTCATTATCATCATTATCCTCTTCTTCTTCGGCGTCATCGTCATCGTCGTCTTCTTCTTATTCGGCAGGTTCGTTTCGACTTTTGCTTCTAATTTATCTTCATCATCATAAACCTCTCCAATTATAGTCATTTGTCTCCCTTCCCTGCTTTGTTTGCTTCATTGCAACTTGTTTGTTTCTAATATTGTATCAATCATAACAAATCAACCAGTCTTCTCTATCATCAGATCACATATATCCAGAATCGAACTGGGATAGCATTTGATAGCTTCTTGTCTGAGGCGCATTCTGGTAACCGTCACCTTAAGTTAGTGATATGAGATCACGATATAAAACGCTGAAAAGACGGTTGTCTTGCATGGCTATGAAACGTTGAATCCACCTAAAAGAGTTAAAGCTATTTACATAGTTTTGAAAACAGTCTTACAGCAAATCTTTCAAGCAGTGGGGAAAAGAGAGCGAGGAAATAATAATGAAATCCATTGTCTTTTTAAATAACCATTGTGCAGTACTATCATGGATGCTTAATAGACAGAAATAGGAGGTTCGGGAGTATTTAGGGGAAAATGTCATATAACAGAGAGACAAAAAGTATATACAGAATGGCCGTAAACCACTGGTAGACCAAGAAGACGGTGGAGAGAATCCAAGCTGACCTCCAAATATTTGCAGTCACCAAGCAGAAAGATAGGTCTAATCACACACATGAATGGAGGCTGGTGATGTCTGCTGCAATGAATCCCAAGAGTTCGGAATGCTGAAGAAGAGCATGAGTCATCGTCTGAGATATCTTGAGTATCAAGTAGTTTACAGTTTTATCTACAACTGATTCTGCCCAGCGCATATTTTTTTCATTTTTGGGGAATATACCATTTGACAATATGTAAAAAAAAACCACAAAACAACACAGACTTGGAAGTTCTTCTCAATGGAAAGTAAAAGATGAGCACAAATACATCGGACGTTTGAAAGAAAGTTTTTGTCAACGGAAGAGAATGTCTATGTTGTAGTTACTATTCATGTTATCAGCTTGATTGCAGTATTCCTATTTACGTCATCACTTGATAAACCATAGTCAGACAGACTAATAAGTGTCCTCATCATCACTTATCAAACAACAGTCGACACACCTATAAGTGTTCTCATCATCACTTGTTAGACATTATTCAGATAGACCCATAAGTGTCTCTAAATCACTTGTTAGACATTAGTCAGACAGACCCATAACTGTCTTCATCAAGACTTGTAAGACAAAAGTCAGACACCCCCGTGTGGGTTCCGGGGCCTCATTATAGGGAAAACAAGAATAGACCCACTGCCTCCCCAAAAAGCATGTTGTAAGAGTCGACTAACTGGTGGCTTCCTTTGAAGTCGGAGTGCATCTGCCTGAGAGGCAAGGAACCAGCAATCTGCATACAAGTAAGTCAGATCTGTAAAACGGATGCACACGCAAAACTCAGGTCCTGGAACAAAGCCAAAGTCCGGAAATGGACGAACAACCAGGTCTTTCCACTGGAGTTTAAAGCCGGTGAACGCAAACAAACAACAACAACAATAGTTAGACAAACACATAAGTGTCCTCATCATCACTTGTTAGACATTAGTCAGAAAGACCCATAAGTGTCTCTCAATCACTTGTAAGACATTAGTCAGACAGATTCATAAGTGTCCTCATCATCACTTGTTAGATCATAGTCACGCAGACCCATAAGTGTCCTCATCATCACTTGTTAGGCATTAGTCAGAAAAACCCATAAGTGTCTCTCAATCACTTGTAAGACATTAGTCAGACAGACCCATTAATGTCTTCATCATCACTTGTTAGACATTAGTCAGAAAGACCCATAAGTGTCTCTCAATCACTTGTAAGACATTAGTCAGACAGACCCATAAGTGTCTTCATCATCACTTGTTAGACAATAGTCAGACAGACCCATAAGTGTCTTCATCAACACTTGTTAGACAATAGTGAGACAGATCCATAAGTGTCTTTATCAACACTTGTTAGACAATAGTCAGACAGACCCACAAGTGTCTTTATCAACACTTGTTAGACAATAGTCAGACAGACCCACAAGTGTCTTTATCAACACTTGTTAGACAATAGTCAGACAGACCCACAAGTGTCTTTATCAACACTTGTTAGACAATAGTTAGACAGACTCATAACTTGTTAGACCCATAAGTGTCCTTATCACTTCTTAGACAGTTTTGAGACAGACCTATAAGTGTCCCTGTCAGCTGCATTCCTACATCTTTTACAACAGTAAGGCTCTGCCCGCTGTCAAGATATGTACTGATTTGGTCACAAAGTATAGAGTAAAATTTCCCCGTCTCTTTCATTAGTCCGCATGATTTGTTCTGTGAAATTACATGATATTATATCTCAAAATGGATCATTTGTACATACAGAGAATACCATAGTAATGTATCGTCACAGACCCACACCGAAAAATCTGGACCAATGGCAACTCATTACTGTTGCCAAGGGCGCTGGAACCTGGGAACGTATCACCTTGATTTCACCCCCCCCCCCCCCTCTCCCTTTTCCTAAACCTTTTTTACGGGATTTAGCGGCACTGAAAACGATGTATATTAATTCCGTTTTCAAGTACTTGTATATGCATTTCCTTACTATTTTTGATGAATTAATCTATGTATTTGATTTTAATGCTATTATTATTTTTATTATTATCATTATTATTATTATTATTAGGTACTTTACGAGGGCGCTCCTGACCGCTGTTCTGTATGGCTGTGTAGTCTTGTTCTATTATATGTCGCCGTGTTATTGGTAGCTTGTGGTTTGTTTTTGCTGTTACAGGAGGGATGGATGCTATTAAAATTTCCGTGCTTGATACAAACGTGTGCTCGAGGCAGTGTTGAATTTATACCGCTATATGTGGAGAAACGTGATTACACACTCCAGTAACAAAGCACTAGCTCATGATAGGCTCTTGATTGTGTGTGGCAATCAAAAGAAAAACATGCAACTCAGGACATGGAAGCAAAACAGACCACTTTAGTTCCAATCTTTCGTAACTGGAGTGTTTTGTATCCCATGATTTCTGAGTACTTCTCGACTGCGGATCCGAAGAACGTGCGTTCTAATCCAAACACAGCAGGACTGTTTTAAAAACAAAAATACCATGGCTTTCATGCGGACTCAACCTTGAGTTGGTGCCTCGTAAAGTCCTGGGAAGGAAAGGTGGCCGGCGTGATGTCGACCACATTACCCACTCAGTGCCGATTGGTTTATAAAGTAGAGGTCTAGCACTATATACGCAATACGCATAAAGGCGTGCAAAAAGGTCCTGTATTTTAATGTAAAAATATTTGAGTCTTTATTAGGAATAACACCTGTATGGGTTCAAGGGGTCCCATTGGGCGGAAGAGAAATAGACCCGCTGTCTACTGACTTTTTAAAGGTTGTTGCGTATCCTTTACAGGACGTTGCAGAACCAACCCTAACAGCCCCTGGCTGTTGTGTGGTTTCTCTAGGCAAATTACGTCCAGTAGTTTGCCATTGTCTACTGACTATCGTGCCGTAAACGCTAAATAATTATGCGTTTGCTGGTTAGTGGGCACAATATAAACAATTTACGTTATGCTTATGACCCAGTCTTGATAGCAACATCAGAAAGAACTACAGGAAATGATAGACATTGTGGTGTTAGAAAGTGGAAGAATGAGCCTCTGAAGGGCACTCTTCCGAATACCGGTCCCAAATTATTAACTGCGAAAAACATATTATTTTTTTCTCAAACATGTGGCCCTGGAACCCACAAGGCGAGTCACAGTTACTGTGAACAATGGATCGAAAACTAACCCCCCCCCCCCGCGCCCATATCGCTATAATGCATTAAAAACTACTCCTCCCCACAACGCTTCTACATTGGATCAAAATTTAGTCTTCCTTAAATTACTTCAATGGATCGAGAACTATTCCTCCCTACTGCGCTTAGCTTAACGTCTAAACATTGATATCCTTCGTGCTATTACCACAGAAGTGAAAACTGATGATGAGGGCCTAAATGTTGTTACTACATAACCTCTTGAGGCTTCCAAAGGGATGTTTTTCGCTGCGAATTATTTGGGACCGGTATTCGGAAGAGTGCCCCTCTGAAGTAATGGTGGTATCAAAGAAACGAATTATTCCTAAATGTGTAATAAAAGTCGATGGTGTTATTTTAGGACAAGTTCAGAAATGTAAGTATATGGGTACGTGGATAATATCAGATGGAAGATGCATAACTGAAATAAGAAACAGAATAGGCCAGGCAAAAACTGCATTTTATAAAATGAAGAATATTTTGTGCAATATATCCTTGTCTTTGTGAGTTAGAAAAAGAATTCTTGCTTGCTGCATACATCCAGTTTTAACATATGGCTGTGAATCCTGGACAATCGGTAGGCAGGCCAAACAATTTCTGGAGGCCTCAGAGATGTGGTGTTACATAAGAAAGCTTAGAATACCTTAGACAGCCAAAAAGAGCAACCAATAGGTTTTGAAAGAGGCGGGAGCCCGAAGACAACTTATCACAGACATCAGAAGGAGACAGTCATCATTTTTCGGCCATGTTATGAGAAGAGGGAAAATAGAACATGTTGCGACCACTGGAAATATCTGTCGAAAGAGGGACAGAGGAAGACAACGAGAGATTGACAGTCTTGTTGCATGACATGAAGGTGTGTCGGCACACTAACTGATACATTCTAAAGGAAATCGTGGATTATGGAGAGGCCCACGCCAGTCGGCAAGGCACCTGATGATGATGGTTGCTGGCCTTAGTTGTGTTAGGCTGAAAAGCGCAAATATCGCAACCTGCGTATAACCCACAACCCTACCTGCCAACCACCTGTTAAGAGCAATAGAAGAAGGAGAAGAAGATGCAATTACGGGACAGAAGTAGTGTATGGAATTGCATGAACTCATAGAATAATATAGCAGAAGAAATTCAGAAATGTATACCTTATACAAAGTAATCAAGAAGTGTATAATGAGCAATATCAATGGCATCCCCGTCTCAATGTGGGACGCAAGTTGTATGTTATTTTAAAGCCCACACCCCGGCTGTAGTAAGGGGCCCTAATATAACCCACCGGTTGAACGTGGTTTCTGTGACTTGTGCCCAGGTTACCCTCTGCAAGATATTGGCACATTGTGTCAACGGGTGTTGGTCGCTGGTTGTACTGTCCTGGTGGTGTTGAAAGACACATATACCCATGTATGATTAGCCCTAAGGTCGTGGGCTCAAATCCTAACAGAGCTGGTCTTTATTTAAAAACTAATTTGGCTCCTAGGTCGATACAATCTTAAACGGGTAGGGGAAAAAATGGATGTTATATGACCACATCATGCACTGAATATCGATTGGTCTTTAAAATGTAGGCCTAGCCCTATATGCTCAAAGGCATAAAGGAGTGGAAAAGAACCCTTTACTTTTATAATATACAATACAATCCGTGAATATTTTAAATAATGTATTTGTTAAATGGCAGTTTACTGGCCGTAAATTTGCCTAGAAAAACCACACAAAAGCCAGGGGCTGTTGGGGTTGGTTCTGCAACGTCTTGTAAGGGATACGCAACTAGCCTTTGTTAAATGAGTACCACTAAATACTGTTTACCTCATTATTTCATATACTTATGTGAATGCATAGGGCAATTTTTACTCTACTGGGGATGTGGTCAATATCACGCCGGCTACCTTTACTCCCCATGACATTTCCTGGTACCCAGTTTAGACTAGGCCAACTTTGAAGCCCAACTCACAAGTTATTTTTGTGAAAAGAAATAATTATCGAAATGCATTCAATTAACTTATCCCGCATCTAGAAGGGGATTTAACAACAGTTAGAAAATGGGACTGCAGACAGTACATTTCAATAAAGGAAATTAAAACTAGGGCTAAACAAATGGAAGCGGATTAGAAAATAAATATGGAAATAATATGATCAGTAAAAAAAAAAAAAGTTAACAAAGCTAGAATATATTTTTTTTTTCCAGTGACAGTACTGGATGGGTTTAACACTCCACACAAAAACTAGTTTAGGTTCACATACTGTTTGAACGAGTGCAGTTGTCAACAAAAATGTTAATGCTGAAAAATAACAAAAGACAAAGCTTACACTCATGTTAATCTGTTGCCAGTAATCCTCGTTTCTGAGTATTTATATATCTCCACTTGACTTACTGACGACATGCCTGGTTAGGTGCAGTGTTAATATTTTTATGCTTGCTCTGTGGACCCTGATAACACAGGTGGTATCAATAATTTAATCAAGATAGTACCTTTTCAAATACTTTAATGGTTTAAGGTTTGAACAATTGATAAACATCATGGCACACTGGTAGTAACCCATGTGCTCCGTTCTTCTTCAAACTCAAGTCTGAGTCCGAAGAAGCTCAGCACAGTGCACAAGCTCTGTAGCACCGGTGAGGATCCTGAAATACTTTAGGTAGATTTTTTACCTTCACATTTTTGTCCGGGCAGCGCCGTTAGGCCACTCTTTTCGATTTCCTACTGCCAAGGGATTTTTACGTGCTCATCAATGCACACGGGCGTCCGATCTCACTACCCAGAGACCAGGGGGAATTACAAGAAGTCCGAGTCCACGTAAAAAAAATCCCAGACCTTACTGGGGGCTGAAGCCGGAAGCTCTAGCACTTGAGGCTGACACCAAACCTCGAGACCACGCAGCCCCCTTAGATACTTTAGAATGGAAATAAGCTTCTGATTTTGTCTTAATTCCAAGAGGATTTCAACTATTTTTTTATTTTCAGGTGAGCAACCTTTTTATTGTGAGTCTTGCAGTAGCTGATGTTATCGTTGGAATCATCGTCATGCCAATGAACGCTTTCTACATCTTTACTGAACGTTGGATGCTGGGAGTTGCCGTCTGCCAGATCTGGATCAGCGTCGACTACACAGCCAGCACCGCTTCCATTCTCAACCTGTTCATTCTGAGTCTTGACCGTTACTGGTCGGTCCGCCAACCTTTGAAATATCTTCACAAAAGGACTAAACGGAGAGCGTTGAGTATGATCGCTTTTGTATGGGCCATCTCTTCTTTGTGGATTATTCCCATCGTTAGCTGGCACTTTTTAGCACACAAAGGGATACGCACAGTTCCGAACGATGTCTGTGACACAGAATACGCCAAGAATTCTATTTTTAAAATTGTCACAGCCTTCTTCAACTTCTATTTGCCACTCACAGTAATGTATATACTTTATTTCAGGATATTTATCGCAATTCGTAAACGGTCAGAGTTCGAACTTGGTCAAAGAAGCCATGGTGGAAAAGTTCTCTCCTACAAAATTAATAACCCCAATTCACTGGAGGACAGTGAATGCAATGATGACATTTCATTTTCGGCAGACACAAGGGGAGGTGTAAGGGTCTATGAAAATGGGATACGATCCCAAGTTCCATCTACGGCTAGAAATGTACATGTCTTGACAGTGAAAAGGCACCAGACCACAGCAGGCAAAGATACGAGCTCAGGTCCGTGCAGAGTTGAATACATTTATGATGAAAATGTCATCGATCCTCAGACAGAAAAGATCGAAAGATATTATTATGAAGAACACTATCCGGTGCCCTATCTCTCCAGATCGATATGGATGGGAGGTGGTGAGAAGTACTCAAGTACAATTCCACGGCCGGAGCATATACGCAGTCCACGTCAGCTTGGGGAAGTAAAGTTGTCTCCGACGTTTCATTCTATGTCATCATTGGCCAATAGCAGTTCTCGGAGTAATGGTTCCTTTGTAGGGAACCGGCAGCAGTTTCAGCAGTACTTAACAGTTAACGGCAAACACAACGCAATTGTTAAAAGAAATATTTTCAGGCGGCACAAGAAGTCCAACATGTCTACATTAAAACAACATAACAGCATCAGGCTGACCAGTTGTAAGAAATATGAACCGGGGGAAACGTCTTTCAGTCCTTCATTTTACATTGAACCTACCAACGTATCTTTTTCATCAACGTCATCAACAAGTACTTTTGAGGACAGGCGTGTCGATGAACACTGCATGCGGCGAGTATTTGGAGCCCATGATGCAAGTGGAACTCGCGAAACGACAACAGACAACGGAAAACTTGACAGTCATCCAAAAGTGTCAGACGAGAAGTGTTCAGTCAGTGGCCCGGTGAAAAACCTTCGTCGGGTTGAATCTTTTTTGGATAAATCTACAGGTTTCGGAATATCTTCCCGGGGCAGCGTCGATGGTTCATGTTCTCGAAACGGAGACGATTCTGAAGGCATCCTTGTCTTGCGTGATGACAAAAATAGGCGGCTAACTGGTGGGATGACATGTCTAAGAGAACGCCTAAAAACGATAAGACAAAGTTCTTCACTGAACAAAGAAATCAAAGCCGCCAGGCAACTCGGCGTGATAATGGGTGCATTTACGTTATGTTTCCTTCCTTATTTTATTCTCTTTTTGGTAGTAGCATTCTGTGATAACTGTGTAAAACCAGGTCACCTCACTGCTGCTACCTGGGTTGGGTATCTAAACTCAACTCTCAACCCATTTCTGTACCCATTATGTAATGCCAATTTCCGGATCAAATTCCGGACCATGCTGAGTTGCTGTAAAAATGGCCGCTCACGTCTACGAAGCACGCAACAGGAAAATTCAAGAACGCACTACTGGTTGTAACTCTCGCTATGACTAAGCAGTCTGTCTGCTTGATTGTTCTGTTTATATTCCTTATACGCACCGGACTTCTGATAACACTAAAGTAGTACTGATGCAGATGTTAAAGGTGTCATAATTATAACTGTTCTGAAAGTTGAACCGGGAATTTATGGGTTTTGCCTCGACGGTTCGCCATACAGGACGCAACTCTTCCAGTCGCAGGGATTCACAAAATTTCTGGTAGCAGCCTGGAGGGACAAGCGGAGAGACAGAAAGACTATTTTTGTGTGACCTGCATTTGTTTTAAAGACCAGTTTATTTCAACCAAACTAAACCCTTATTTGGATTTTTCACTGTAAAGTTTACTAACATCGAGCTAGTGAATACAGTTTGCAACAGTAAAAAACATCTTCACACAAAAGCTTTAACTATGTATGGTAACATATCTGACGATGTGTCAAACCTATCCAGCTTTAAATTTTTTAAACAGGCCATGTGTGCAGTATGCAAATATGCTATAATAAAGTATAATAAACCCAATCATGTTTTACTTCTACCTGATCCTCTGGTTGGGACTCCATTCACCATGCTTAAGGACCTTGATTTTGCAGATGATATAGCACTTCTATCACATAAATATGAACATATGCAAGAAAAAAAAAAAAAGTAACAAACTACACAGCACAGCAGAAATGGTGGGACTGAAAATAAATACAAGGAAAACTAAGTTCATGACAAACATTCCAAATAAACAACCAGTGACCATAAATAACCAAACACTTAAAAATATAGAACAATTCACATATCTTGGTAGTGTGTTTCCCTTCTGGGAGGGACAGAGGAAGATATGCAGTCACGCCTGAACGAAGCTAGAGCTGCTTTTGGAAGGATGGGGCAAATCTGGAAATCCAACACTTACTGCAGAGGAACGAAACTTCGACTCTACAAGAGCACTATTTTGCCAGTTCTTCTTTATGGAGCAGAATGCTGGAAAATGACCAAAAAGGATGCACACAAGCTACCCACCTTCCACCACACATGTCTACGTAGAACTATCAACATTTTCTGCCCAGATACAATCTTAAACACTAAACTACTTCAAGTCACACACCAAGAAACTCTACACAGTATGATAACCAAAAGAAGATGGAAATGGCTTGGCCCCGTTATGAGAATGAATCCTGATATACTTGTCAGAACAGCTCTCACATGGACACCAGAGGGAAAGAGAAAGTAGGGGCGCCGTTAAACAACATGGAGAGGAACGATGGAGAGTGACCTGAATGCAGCATCTCTGACATGGAAAACTGCACCGAAGATTGCATAGGACAGGAAAGCACGGAAAGTCCTCTTGAAGCCCTATGTGCCACTAGGCATAAAGAGAATTGATGGGTGGAGTATGCAAATATTCGGAGTCTTCTTCTTCTGCCTTTCAATCCCCCAATAGAGCATAGGCCTTCAACCAACTCACGCCAAGTCGTTATATCCTTCGCCATTGCATGGAGCTCTACCCATGTCCTCCCAATCTTTCTAGCCCCACTTTCCAGCTCTCTTCTCAATTTTTTTGGCCTTCCTTTATTCCTATGCCCCTGTGGGTTCCAATGCAAAGACATTCTAGTTATGCTGTTCTTCTGTTTTCTCAGTGTGTGTCCTATCCAACGCCAGCGTATTTTCCTCACCTCTTGGTCCACTGGAGCCTGCTTAGTTCTCTCCCAAAGTTCTACATTAGTTATTCTATCATACCATTTAATTCCCTCTATTCTGCGCAAACACCAGTTAATTAATGTCTGTAATTTATTAGTTATTGTCTTACTTGTTCCCGTGTTTCCGCCCCATACAATAGTACTGATTTGACATTAGAATTACAAATTTTTAGTTTAGTATTTCTTTTAATTTTTTTTTGACCTCCACAAATTCCCTAGCCTAATCATGTTTTACTAATACCTGATTTTCTGGTTGGGAAGCGAACACTTTGCATTCTTGTATAAGATTCCCTCGCAACTTCCCAAAATAGGTAACTGAACACGTCTCCTGAGTTGAAAATATCCCAGTGGTTGGATACGGAAAAGATGCCAAAACAGCTGGAGTGGAAAACATTTCAAAATTAGTATACTTACTGTTTATCTTATTTTTATCGTTCACCAGCTGTGAACACCGGTGGAAAGTTCAGGTTGTTTGTTGTCTTCCGGAGTTTGGTCTAGATTCAGAACTTATGTTTGGTATACTCATCTGTTTTACAGATAGGATTTGTATCTAGACTGTTGGTTCCTTTCCTCTCAGGCGGATGCACTCTGACATTGAAGGGCCTTTAATAATTATCCACATGGGATCGTAAACTCATTTATAAATACCAGTAGGCACGCGAGGGTGAGTAGGTCAACATGACGTAGATTTTGGTAAACACGTTGTGGAAACCTACTTTCTGATACGAAGGCAGTGCTTTGGGTGGATCTTGCTAGGTTGGATCTATCGGAGCTTTGTTTATGCTTGTGTGTGTGTGTGTGTGGGGGGGGTGGTGGGGGGGGGGACACTAAGGCAGGTTTTTTTTTTATTGCGTATGCCATAAAGGTGATCCATTATAATTCTAACTAAAAGACAAATTGCAATTTTGGCTGTTTCTGCTTTAAAATGCTACTTTATTTTTAAAATTTTGTTCGAGTGAAGCAAACAAAATTGCTACTAATTACCACTGTATTATTTTTTCAATGAATTTAATTTAACATTGTGAGTTTCAAATAGTGTATCAGGGGGAAAAAAAAAGAAATACCACTTCGACTGCTTTTGTTCCAATTTATAACTTCCGAGTTTTTCAGTTTCAGATGGTAAACCAGTTATTTATATTTATTTTACTGCTTCTCATATATGCAGTCAACGAAAACACTTTCAATACCTCTTTAATTGGTTTTTCTATACTAACTACCTTCAGTTTAAGATTTTTTAAAAAGAGTTATAATGACTTCTTTTTTTTTTTTCCCCACCGGCTTTATTAATATTATTAGTTTTATCATTATCATTGCTATTAATATATACTGAGTGGCACGTTTGAAAAAGTAATATTTAAAATAATATATGCATTTTTTTTAAAGGTAGTTGCATAGCCTTTACTTGACTTTGCAGAAGCAACCCCAGCTGCTTTTTTTCATAGTGGTTTTTTTTTTAAAGGAAAATTTACATAAGTTACTTTTACATTACCCCTAAACCGTCAGCTCTCAGCACCAATGTCGAAACCAACGCAAGATGGTCTGTTGCCAAATTTCCTACAGCTGGAACCGAACCTGGTACCTCGGCATTACGAAGTCCGTTCGCAACACCACAGACGCCGATATGTCTAAACGAATGTTTGATGTTAAAGCCCACTAGGACCACACAAAGAGCGATAAACACCTGGTGTCGAAAAGCGCCACTATTCGGATGAGAATCACACGTTTACAAGTATCAGAAACCCTGATCAGTTGTTAGGTTATAATAGAACCCCCGACTACCGCAAGTGAAGCTTTAAAAAGAGAAACAAAAAGAAAAATGTGCGTCCCATATTGAGGCAAAAATAACAAATGCTTAAAAAAGGAAATTTATATATGGTGGGGACGAGGGAGTTCTCCTCCAAAAATGTATAAAACTCATACATTTTTGGAGGATAAACCCCTCGTCCCCACCATATATAGTCTGTAATCATATGTATAACGTATAGTCTGTACGACATATAACCTGTAATAGCCCGTGCAACATATAAGCTATAACAGTCTGAACAACATATAATCTATAATAGTCTGTACGACAAATTACCTATAATAATCTGCATGACACACAATCTATAATATTCTGTACAACATATAGTCTATAATAGTCTGTACAACGTGTAAACTACAATAGTCTGTAAACATATAGCCTATAATAGTCTTACAATATATATGCTTTAAAAGTTTGCACAGCATATAATCTGTACAGGTTTAGGTTTAGACGATGGATAAACATCATGGCACAAGGGTAGAAACCCATATATGCTCCGTTCTACTCCTGACTCAAGCCTGAGTCTAAAGTGTCTCAGCGCAGTGCACAAACTCCGTAGTACCAGCGAGGATCCTGAAATACTTTAGGTAGATTTTTAACTCCAAATTTTGCCGGGCTACTCTTTTTCGATTTCCAGCTGTCAAGGGATTGTTTACGTTAGCAAAAATACACATGGGCCTCCGATCTTACTACCCAAAGACCAGGGAAAATTATCAGAAGTCCACGTGAAAAAATCCCAGCCTTCACCGAGGCCTGAACCCAGGACCACCAGCACTCGAGGCCACGCAGCGCCCCCCCCCCCCTAAAGAAGAGATCGAGCATATCACAGATTTTGATTATTTAAGCTCAGTTGTGAGCAATAATGGCGACTGCCAAAAAAACGCCAGTAAAAGATAGCCTTAGATATACAGAGGCAAAACATCGTAAAGAACCTATGGCACAGTATCAGCAAGCCAGTAGAAGTAAAAGTTTTGAGACCGAGCATTTTGTCTTTTGGCAAATTTTGACTCTTTCTCAATCTCTGAAGAAAACAACCTGATCTTTTTACCTGAAATGATAGAGTAACATTCTTAGAATATCATAGACTGAGAAGAAGAAAAAATCCTATATGATGTCAGCATCGGGAAGAAGCGGCTCATAAACAGCATCTAGTGCCAGATTAGGGAGGCTATCCAGGCATATATAACAGCAGATGTTGAAACAAGACACTCTCGCGGACACACGCACGCACGCACTCATACACACACACATATATATATATATATATATATATATATATATATATATATAAATACGTATATACATACAAACACACACACACACACACACACACACAGAGAGAGAGAGAGAGAGAGAGAGAGAGAGAGAGAAAGAGAGAGAGAGACGTATGTCGTCTGAGCACGCAAATCGACTTCTTACCACAGATTTGATATGCGGTATCATCTCTCCTCCACCCCCACCCCTTCTCTGTCTGTCTGTCTGTCTGTCTGTCTGTCTGTCTGTCTGTCTGTCTG